TCCTCTGCCCTTGGGCGGGCTTGTCTTATCTTTTAAAATGGTAACAAGAGGCTCTGATCTCTTCCCTTGCAAGGCCTGCCACGTCCACCACTACAGTACTTTCCGGCTCAAAGTTGTTGGTCACTCTGTCTTCATGAGCTCGATACGTGTCCCATAGCCTTGATGCTCGCTCCTTCTCTGTAAAGTCCGTCCTGTGCACGGCACGAGGTACTTTACCGACACCCTGAGGAAGTACGTCCCTTCCGGTAACCCAGCGTAAACACCAGACACGCACGTACCTTGTTGTGCCACATGTTTGGTTCCAAATTTACAGAACACAACATCAGCCTCAAAAGGTACATTGCGTAGTTTAACCCATGTGTATCTCTTCGATATATCGATGAGGTGCACTCTGACGTCTTCATTACTATTTCTTGGTTCTTGTTAACTACCCTTCTATACACCTGCGCTGACAGGAACTTCACAAACAACCACGTGGCCCCATTTAGCGCTACACCATAGAACTCCTTGTCGTCTGTCCCATTGTTGACACGCCTCCTCAGACTCGCAGAAATGGCTCATTGAGACCAGCCACACTGATGGTGTTGAGGAGCTCCAGGCACACGTCTGCCCCTGCCTTTATCAAGGCAGTGAATGTTTCCATGTTTCAACCAGTTTAAGTTTTCACATAAGAGGTAATAAAGAGAGGTGTATACAAGGCGAGGGTGTATGCTATTCATTTGCAAAGATCGTCAGAGAGCGTGTGGTTCCCTCATATAAGGTAACTGGGGATAAATGTTCTTGAGAATTAGGAATGCAAGGTAACGTTTAGCCCTTCGATGGTCCAAGCGTTGATCTACATTTTCACTGCTAGTGTTCTGGATATTTGAAAAAAAAAGCTATTTTTTTTAATCAACGAGGACAATTTTCTGTGTGTAATAAGATCCACCCCCCACCCCCCCAAAAAAAAATAGCTTCTGCACTTATTGAGAATTAAGGCGGCGATATTGGCACAGGATGCCCACCCGACGGTAGTATGGAGTCCTGCTACTTGCAGAAATGTTGCTTATTTACTCTTTTTTCTCGTTTTTTAATTAATTTTTATGTAGTAGTTTTTGAGATTTTATAGTCAATCTTTGTTCTGAAACTAATATTAGGTGCTGAAATAGTAATCATATAGATACAAACACAATGACAAGTGAACATGTTCATCTGCATTTGTCACATACTATAGTGAAGAAATATATACAAATTATTTATAGGTCCCAGCAATGTTTTTTTTAGAAGTGCTGGAGTATGAAATTCTTAAGTATGGTGTCAAACATGAGTGTCACTCTACACTGCTGACGGTGCAATCACTCAGTGTTGCTGATCATGCACTGCTCCAGTGAACCTTGACAGTTTTTTTTATTTGTTCTCACTGTTATACATAAACATGTCTGTCTCTGTCAGTCTGTCTTTCTAGCTATCTGTCTCTGTTTATCTCTGTCTATCTGTCTCTGCCTCTCTGTCTGCTTGTCTGTCTGTCTCAGGGAAAGTCTCTCATGAACCAACAGATATTTCACACGATGGAAATAAATGGTATAAAATACCGACACAGTGGAAATATAAACACATATGCAGTATAATGTGATCCTTTATTGACAACGTTTCGCCCACACAGTGGGCTTTTTCAAGTCACAAACAGATCTACCTGGGGCGGAAGGTACGCAAGTATTTAGTCAGGTTCAGAATATTGAGGTCAGGTGGAGAATGCTGCATCTGATGATGTACCGAGTGGGGTTATAGTGTCTAAAATCTTGGGTTGCTTGGAAGGGAGATTGGATAAGTTTGTGAGCAGACCTTCTGCAGTGTTCTTCCATTCCTATGCTCTTATGTGGGATAGCGATGAAGAAGTTTCTTGGCAAGTGGTTCAGCTAAGTTATAGAAGCCATTATTTTGGTTGAAGTTGTCGGATATAGAGATAAGCGATGATTCCAGGATTCTTCGGTATTGAGTGTTGTCTTCTGTGGCGGTAAGTCTTGAGTTTCTGTAGTTTTTTAAAATTTGGTTGTGTGAATTACGGTGTTTGTACACGGGCTTTCCTTGTATCGTCAGACCCCGCTTGCGTATTGGTGTCTGAAAAACGTGTTTTTGGGGGTCTCTTGATGTTTCGCCCACGTATAATTTACTGCTGTCATTACAAGGGATTATGTATACCCCTGCAGAGGATGGAAGCTTGTCCTGTCTATTACTGGTAATGTCCTTGATGGTCGTGGTTGTGGAGGTAGATACTTGGAATGAGGTATTGGAAAAGATGTTGGAAACGTGTTTGGAAATGGAGTTGGTGGGGAGGTCTATATATCTCTTCTCGGCAGTGTCTTCTCTGGGTGTGTTGAAGATGTTTAATGCCCGCCGTTTGCAGTCTCTGATGAAGTGACGAGGATAGTGGAGTTTAGAAACTACAAACTCTCTGCGATACTAGTCATTGGAACATAAGAACATAAGATAGGAGGAACACTGCAGCAGGCCTGTTGGCCCATACTAGGCAGGTCCTTTACAATTCATCCCACTAACAAACATTTGACCTACCCAATTTTCAATGCTACCCAAGAAATAAGCTCTGATGTGCAAGTCCCACTCAAATCCAGCCCATCCCACTCATGTATTTATCCAACCTAAATTTGAAACTACCCAAAGTCCTAGCCTCAAAAACCCCAAAACTAGGTAGACGGGTTCCACTCATCTAACCCTTTTTCCCAAACCAATATTTTTCCTATGTCCTTTCTAAATCTAAACTTATCTAATTTAAATCCATTACTGCGGGTCTCTCTTGGAGAGATATCCTCAAGACCTTGTTAATATCCCCTTTATTAATACCTATCTTCCATTTATACACTTCGATCAGGCCTCCCCCATTCTTCGTCAAACAAGTGAATGTAACTTAAGAGTCTTCAATCTTTCTTCATAAGGAAGATTTCTAATGCTATGTATTAATTAGTCATCCTACCTGAATGTTTTCTAAACGAATTTATGTCCATTCTGTAATATGGAGACCAGAATAGAGCTGCATAATCTAGGTGAGGCCTTACTAAGATGTATAAAGCTGCAGTATGACCTCTGGACTTCTGTTGTTTTACACTTCTTGATATAAATCCAGTAATCTATTTGCCTTATTACGTACGCTTAGGCATTGCTGTCTTTGGGTTTTAAAGGGTGTGCTCACCATAACCCCCCAATCCTTTTCGCAATCTGTATGGTTAAGTTCTACATTATTTAACTTAAAAGTGCTAGGGTTATGGACACTCCCGAGCTCAGAACCTTGCATTTATCTACATTGAACTGCATCTGCCACTTTTCTGACCAAGAGTAGAGTTTGTCTAAATCCTCCTGAAGTTCCCCCAACATCTACGTTTGAATCAATTATCCTACCTATCTTCGTGGGCATCGGGGAATTTGCTCTATCACTAGTAATTCCTTCATCAGATCATTGATATATATTATAAACAAAAACGGGCCCAAGACTGATCCCTGTGGAACGCCACTTGTTACTGATCCCCACTCGGATTTAACCCCATTTATGGACACTCTTTGCTTCCTGTCTGTGAGCCATGATTCGATCCACGAGAGCACCCTTCCCCCAATGCCATGAGCTGCCACTTTCTTCAACATCTTTGGTGCGGAACTCTATCAAATGCCTTACTAAAATCTAAGTAAATAATATCAAATTCTTTATCGTGGTCAACAGCCTCAAAAGCTCTACTGAAGAAAGTTAATAAATTTAGTTAGACAAGACCGCCTCTTGTGAATCCATGCTGAGTATCATTAATCAAGCTTTGCTTATCGAGATGGTTTCTTATAATCTCAGCTATAATTGACTCTAGTAATTTGCCTACAATTGGGGTCAGGCTTTTTGGGGGCGGTAATTTGACGGTAACGACTTGTCCCCTTTTTTTAAAAATAGGAATTACATTAGCCATCTTCCACATATAAAGACACTGCACCTGTTTGAAAGAAAAAATTAAAAATATTAGTTAATGGTTCACAGACTTCCATTTTGCATTCCTTTAGAACCCTTGAAAAAACCTAAATCAGGACCCGTGACTTATTTTGCTTCAGTCCTGTCTATCTGCTTCAAAACCTTTTCACTAGTGACTGTGATGTTACATAATTTATCTTCTTCTGATCCACTAAAAAAATTAATTACCGGAATATTATTAGTGTCTTCCTGTGTAAAAACCCGAGAGAAAATAATTATTTAAAATCGAGCACATTTCTTTCTCTTTGTCAGTAAGAGCCCATAGTTATTTTTAAAGGGGGACCTATCTTATCTCTGACTTTTGTTCTATAGACCTGGAAAAAACTTTTGGGTTAGTTTTAGAATCCCTAGCAACTTTAATTTCAAGTCCCTTTTAGCTTTTTTTAAATCCCCTTTTTTAATGTCCCTCTAAATGTCAATATACTGATTCATAAGATGACCCTCGCCTCTTTGATACGCCTATAAATTCCTTTCTTATGCCCTAGTA